GGTTTAGTGTTTGTACTATTAATTTTGTACTATTTATTATTAATTAACTAAAATTATTAATTTTTAATAAAACTTACTAAAATTGAGCAAGTTTAATGTGGAATTTCAAAATGAGTCTTTCTAGTGGAGAATCATTGTGATATTTCAGAAGAAAAGTGACTTTTTGTGCTGGAGAATCCAAGTGTACTCTATGAATTGAATTGTTATGTGATTGAAAGAACTCTGTACGAAGGATGGAGTTCATTGAATACAAATTTGCAGGAATTTTGTACTAACTCAATCTTCATAAGTTACACAAGTATTTATTTTACTTTACTATAAGTATAAAGTGACCAAAAACATTGAAAATCATGATGCCTAAAATTGCAAAATGGAAAAGTGACTTATCACGGTGAAAGTGTGAAACTTTGAGAAAGAAAATGAAATGTCAGGATCCACGGTACAGAAAAAAAAGAGCAAGAAAGAGATAGGCTTTCTTTCAAACGTATGAGGCAAGATCCAGTGAGAAGAAGCCAGGAACAAACCCAAAATACAAAAGCACATCAAATTGCTTGCCAAGATGCAGCTAGAAGTCAGGAGGAGTTTCGTGACAGAGAAGCACCGCTCAGCTTGCCGAGGTCTTGACCGAACAGCCTCCAATAGGGCAGCATTTTTGCTAGTTGCATATATTTCATATCATTTGAATGATACTATAATGTGAGAAACAAGATTCACAAAAAAAATTTATAACACAATTTTACATTTATTTCTGAATCAGTAATATGTAATACTAGTTCAAATACTCTATCACTTCATGTTATTGTTTATTGTACTAGCAACCATTTTGAATTATTTGTTTAATTTTGAATATTCACAATTCACTGTATTGTTTGGTTAAGTTAAATATCATTAATATAGTCTTGATCTGATTTATTTTTGCTTCAGAAACATGTTTTAATATCATATGTAATTTGGAGTTATAATCACTTCTGTTATTTTGTTTCAAGAGGCAGTTTGAAGTCTAAAATGTGTTTCTACGTATAAATCTATTTGCTCTACAATTTCAATAATTATTAAGTAACTTGAAATTTGTAATCCTCTTTAAATACAGCTTGCATAGTATTCTGGTACAATAATAATAAAATGTTAATTGATTGTTTTTCTATGCTTTGTAGGATGTTTTTTTAATGGTACGGAGAAAGAAAATTACAATTTTCATAGATGCCAAGGAAACAACTCCTGTTCTGGAACTTAAAAGAATGATAGAAGGAATCACAAAAATTTCTCCTGAAAATCAAAAATTGTTTTATGAAGATCAGGTACGATGAGACAAAACTGCAACATCTTTCTTCTCAGTTAATGTTATCATAAATGGCTTAGTGTCATTAGTGATCTGTACAGTAATACTGCTGATCAGCGTATCTGATATTTGTTTTTAGTGATAAATTATAATCAAAGTAACAAAAATGTATTCTACTTCATATGTTAATTATAAATAAATAAGGTAACAAAATAGTTATAATGCATTAGAGATTTTGAAGAGTTTTTGCATTACCATGAATCTGTTTGTAAATACTATAACACAGTGCTTTCTTCAGTTTTATTAGAAATACTTGTAGATCACCAAATATGACTGTGATTTGTATCATCTGACAAGTGAACTAGACTTAAGATCACTGTGTAGATATGCTGTGTTTGCTATATAATGCTGGGTAGAACAGCAGTTCTCATATGCTGGTCTGTAGAAACATCCAGTGAATCCATACTTTTCTTGAATATACTAATATTATTAAAACTAAATGAATTCAAACTTGTTTTGACAACTCAATATAGTGTTTTGTAGTTAGTACTTGTGTGTATGGTATCAGTAAGTGAAATAGATTGACTTCAAGAAACTGGGCCTATTTGGAGTACTGACTATAGTAGTTCTTGTCATCTTAATATAACGAAAAACATTGAGTATGATGGAGAGGATTCAGAAGATGGCCTGCCTGGATGGCTTTGAGATGGTTGGGTTACAATTTAAGGATAGGTTTGGATCTCTTAACGTATTCTCTTTCTTGAAAAAGGGAAGAGTCAAGGGTGGTCTAATTATTCAAAAATATTATGGGGATTTATAAGACTGATGTATCAGATATTTTTTTCATGTTGAATTCTGAGGGTAGTAGGATAAGACTTCATAAAATTTAAGAGTTGTAAAGGTCAGACACATCTTCAGTTCAGTCAGATTTATATCTATTAGTAGTAAATATATGGAACTAATTGCCATCTGAAGTGGTAGAAGCTGTAACTTCACACAAGCTTAGGAAAAGGGTTGAATATTTGTGGGAATAAGACTGTATTTAGTGATTTATTTTCTGTTTGTTGAAAGAAGTTGGGGATCAGAACGTACTCGATGGGACAAAAGGCCCCTTAACCCTTTAAACACGGGCAGATAATATTACCATCTGCTTGACTAGGGACGGACATTTATGCAACAAAAATACAGTAACTCTGTGTATTCCTCACAAAACCTCATAAAATTTTGTTAAAGTTTATAAGTATTTTGTACACACAGAATGACATTATTCTAATTATGTCTTTGTAATAAAAATACTATTTGTCTATAGTAGTTATCAGTACTCAGACTGTTAAAATAGTATGGGTGCAACATGATTTTAATTTTAAGTACGAAAATACTTTTCTTTATCTTATATTTGTTACATTTCATTTCATAACCTCTAGAACTTCCTAAAGTTTTTAAGGTAAATGTTTATATTTTATTTTTCATTTTCTTTACCTTATCACTCTCTAGCTATTATCATCAATGTACAATGCAATGAGATGATTAAAATTAGAGAAAATTACAGATGTTGTTTTACTTATATTCATCATTTTGGGTCTTTTCCTTTTCACACATAGTTAATTTTTAATGTTTTACTTTACATTCTTGTCCTTCACCACTTATTATTGATCTTGACACAAGTCAACGGTGCCCTTGAGGCAAATTACGGTGTGTCTGGCAGACATGCACAAACATTTGGCAAAATTTTCATGCATCGCATAATATCCTAAGCCTTGAGAACTGATGCAATGTATGGCATATATTTAAGAAATGTTTAAACCTTTCAATTATGCATTTTAAAGCATTATTAATACATAATTAACTGAAATATAAAAGTAAGACCTAAATACAATTTAACTGTATGTGTAACTATAACATATTTAGGTAAGAAACAGCCATAAGTGCTGTAGTTGAACATGCAGGCAAAAATATTATAGATCAGTTACATGTATTCTGTGGTGACAACTGCGTGCAAATTTCAAAATAACTGTTGTTAGGTTATAGTTTAAAATGAGCTGTTTCTAATGGGTATACACATGTGTTATAACATCTACATGTATGCTATAAAGCAAATTGCTGAAGTTGGGCATGGCACCTGTCAGGGGTTAAAATAATTTATTTCTTGTTTCAACTGTATTCATTCCGAGAACTTTAAAATGTGCAAGTCAAAAAGTTATGTATCTTATTGTTTAGATGTACATCAATACAACTACCATTATATTATTGAAGATACAGAGAGCCAAAGTAGAAAATTTTCATAGCTCATTGGTCGTGTGACAGTACATCTGAAGTTAAAGTTGTTTTTAAAGGTTTTTTTAAAATAAAGGACTTAAAACTTAGATGACATAAAACTTCGAGTTATAACATACATTATAATATTAATTTCATTCACACACATTGATATGAAAGGTGTTTAATTAAAGTTTGAATATAACACAGTGACTTGTGAAGAAAAGGGTTTAAAGGGGTACCCATCGAGAAAGGGTTAATGTCCTATACTTTTTTTTGTAAGATTTTAGGCACAAATTATGTTTATATGAAAAATTAGCTGAGGCAAAAAGTTATCAAAACAAATAAGGTGATAGGCCACATCTTATCAAAATCACTTTTTTCACTTCCCAAACACCTACTTTAAATTATGATGTAAATGTGAAATGAAATCTCTGCCACTCACAAGACTGCTTGAAAGAAACTTTAAACTAAAAGTACAAGTCACCTCATTGGGAAAAAAACGTAAAAAAAAAACTACAGTATAACAAAAAGACTTTGGATATTTCAATATATTTGAGCATTTTTTTTAGCGACATGTATAAATATTTATTATATGTATCTAATGTTATTCTAAAGCATGCCAGACAAATGATAAATTTATACAACACTTAATTATATTTTCCAAAAATTGATTGAGTAGTATTAATGTGTTTTACAACATTGACTGTTAGGATATATGATCCTTAAATTTTCATGTCGGGTACAATAAATGTTTTTTTTATTATTTTACTTAACTATGAGTATCTCCTCTCTGACATTACAAAGACATTTCATTCAATATGTCACAATGTGGAGTTAGTATGCAAGAAGCATTACGTAATATGAAAATTTACTGCCAAAAGTGATTGCTTATTTTTGTTAAAACATAAACTATTTCTTGTTAATTCAAGATCCTTGTTTCATTTTATTTCTCTTTTGTCACTTGAGTAAAATTGACAACATTTTATAAGGTGAAATAAAACTTTTGAAGAGCATATTTAGTTGCCATATTAACTACAGTTACATAACTACATTTTCTGTAATTCAAGGAAATGTATTTTTCAAAATCAGAAGAATGTAAAATTTCAGAAATATTTTGATTTATTGAAAGAAAAATTTGAATCAGGTAGTTTTGACATTCTTTATTGTTTGAATAGATTATGGAAGACAAAAACACTTTGGCAGACTATGGACTAAATACTTCAACAGCAAAAGCTCAAGCACCTGCTACAGTTGGTCTTGCATGTAGAGAACCAGGTGAGATTTAAATCTTAAAGATACTCATTTTGTTTTGGTATATGTAAAAATGTTTTATTAAAGGTGAATAACTTTAATAAAGACTGCATAATTTTGTTGACTGTGACAGCCCTAATGTATTAAGGGTATTGTACAATAATACTACAGGCAAAAAAAATATGGTTATTTAAACTCGATCAATTATAATTTTACCATGAATACTAAATGACCAGAATAGCTCCAGACTTTGTAAGAAATTTAGGGATTTTGAAAAAATTGTTTGTTAACCCTTCCCATAACAGGTCACAGGTGAAAGGCCATGTCATCTCGTTTGAGTGACTCACATTCAAAATTTTATTGAACAACTATTGCATGAATTTATTTCATTAAGTTTGGTATCAAACTGTAGAATTTAATTCAAATTTTGGAACTATACATTATTTAATTTCTTAATTTAAAAGTAAATATTAAAAACACAGAAACATTGATTTTTGTGTGTCATGTGGTACGTTGAATGCAGCACTGGTTCAAATTAGATGTTTGTAAAGTCAAAATACTAAGTCTATAGTTTTATATGAATTAGAAACTCAAATTACTAGTATTGACAAGCTAGAATATAATATAAGAAGATCTTATCTTTTCTATTTGCTAAGATATTGATCATTATTGAATCAAACATAGTGACACCCCGCTCACCTCCTTCCATTTTTGGAAACGCTCCCTTATATACACTTACTTCTATATACGACATGAATAACCAATCGGAAGCTCAGAATGTCCCCTAGCAGCTTTCTCTGTCATTTTCAGATATAAGTTTAAGAAGTTATTTCTAAATAGTAATAGTCTATATAATGTATAATAATTGAAATGTGACTGTATTTTACAAAATACTAATTCACTAAAATGCAGCCAAGACAGGTCATTTTGTAAAGACTGCAGGTCAGTTTTATATTATTGGATATGGTAACATGAGTGTACATGTGCTGCATCATGTAACTTCTGTATTGTTAGCCAGGCACAGCTGAAAGGTCAATATAATAAAAATAATGAATATATATAAACGTATAATATTATGAGATTTAAGCTATTTAGTTTAAATATTTATGTTTTTGTGTTATAATTTGTAGTCATTCTAGAATGAAAGGGGGATAATTTATAATTATTTCTTAATTTTTTATGGTGGTTATGAGATTGTTCAAATTGACTGAACCCATATAAATATTTGTGAGTGAAAATAACAGTTTTCTCTTTAAAAAATTTTAATAACTAGGTGGACATTATAAGGATTTTGCATGTGAAATATGAAAATATTGTAAGGCTTAAAAGTATTTTTAAAATGAAAATTACTTTGCATGTTGGATAGGCAACATGCAAAAAGAAAAAAGGCATGAGAAGAACATTGCTTTAGAAAAAAATCCAAATTAAATATCTTATTTTTTAAAACTACATACTTATAGAATTTTCTCACCTCAAATTTAAAAGAATTTTATCCACTAGTTTTATTATCATAAAGAACTTTCATGAGAGTTGCATAGCTGCTTACATTGTAAGTAGGTCATGGTCAAAGGGTTAAGTATACTAAAGGACAGACTTGCTAAATACAAATGGTAGTCTTCTACCCCTTTGTTTCATATTTGCTTATTTCATAAAATGATATTCTTCCTGGAGTGGGTGTCTATTTATGAGTAATCTGTGAGATTTTTCTATATCTTGGCAAACATATAAATAGTTTTAGATTTTTCTTCACTAGCCAGAGGAGTATTTAAAATGCATCTTGTATCTCTAGTAAAATAAGTCAAGAAATAAGCTATAGCACACACTCATACACAGAATGACAAACAATTATAGTATGTAAGTACTACATACCTTATTCTGTTGTATGTATATATATATATATATATATATATATATATCTTATA